TTGATTACATTCTGCCACCTTACCATGTGCCTTACATTTTTCTGTCACATTTGTTTCTTTTTAATCTCCTTTTCTTTTGAGATTGATTATAAACAAATTGCTTATTTTTTTCCATATATTTATTTTGAAGTTTCACGTATTTCACTAAAGTAGTTACTTTTCTTTTTATGCCTCTAGTAAATGATTAGCTGAAAGATCACATTTGCTAAAGTTTCCACTTTACAACAGTGGCCCAGAGTATTTTGTAGATCCTTACATGTTCTTTGCATACTTTTAGAGGATCTGGAAGTTCAAAACTATTTTCATAACAAAATGTAGATGGTATTTGTCTTTTCCACTCTAATTTCTTTATAGGCATAAAGTGAAAGTTTTCCAGAAGCAAAACGATGTGTGGCATCACAAGAGAATGAATGCAGAAACATATCAGAAATCACCTGCCTTCTGTTAAACCAGGCTTCAATCTACACATTGCCACTCTTCTTGCTAAAATTTTTTGGGAGTTTTTCTCATAAAATGAGTTATTCACATTAAGATATAAGGGGCTAATCTTTGTTATTTTAAGTGAATTCATAAATATATATTTTTACATTGTAATTTGATTTTCTATCATGGAAATATAGTTTTATTTTATATGATAGGATGTGAAAGACATACCACATAAAAACCTGCAAAATTCCTTCTGTAAGATTTTAAGAATATTAAGGGTTCTTATTCCAAAAAGTTTCAAACTAATTACTCTTTTATACACTTGTACGGAAAGATTACTTTAGAGATTACCACTTTTACATTTGAAATAGGTAGAGATTACAAAATATATCTTTAATTACTAAAATATAACGTTAAATGTTACTGATACCATCTTTCTATGTAAGAAATTTAGATGACTTTAAACAAAACTATCTCCTATTGAGTTTCTGATGTCTTTGTCTTGTTACAGTTAATAATAAATTTATGTAAAAATTTCAACCCTTCCGTTCTCTCTTTCCCTTCTGTATTTCTTTTTTTCTGTCTTTTCTATTATATATATATACACACACACACACACACACATATATGTGTATATATATATGTGTATATATATGTATATATATATGTGTGTATATATATGTGTATATATATGTGTATATATATATGTATATATATATATATATATGTGTGTATATGTGTATATAATTGCATTTTAGGTTTTGGGGTACATGTGAAGAACATGCAAGATGGTTGCGTAGGTACACACATGGCAGTGTGGTTTGCTGCCTTCCTCCCCATTACCTATATCTGGCATTTCTCCCCATGTTATCCCTCCCCAACTCCCCACCCCGCACTGTCCCTCCCCCTAGTCTCCCCCTACAGACCCCAGTACGTGATGCTCCCCTCCCTGTGTCCATGTGTTCTCATTGCTCAACACCCGCTTATGAGTGAGAACATGTGGTGTTTGATTTTCTGTTCTTGTGTCAGTTTGCTGAGAATGATGGTTTCCAGGTACATCCATGTACCTACAACAGACATGAACTCATCATTTTATCTTTCTGAACACTCCATTTTGCTTATTCCTTCAGTGCTGATTTTAGCACTCCAAGTCTACATGTTTATAGAAGTCTGAATTTCACCTTCATCTTTTTTTTTTTTTTTTTTTTTGAGACGAAGTTTTGCTCTTGTTACCTAGGCTGGAGTGCAATGGCACGATCTCGGCTCACTGCAACCTCCACCTCCTGGGTTCAGGCAATTCTCCTGCCTCAGCCTCCTGAGTAGCTGGGATTACAGGCACGTGCCACCATGCCCAGCTAATGTTTTGTAGTTTTAGTAGAGACGGGGTTTCACCGTGTTGACCAGGATGGTCTTGATCTCTTGACCTCGTGATCCACCCGCCTTGGCCTCCCAAAGTGCTGGGATTACAGGCCTGAGCCACCGCGCCCGGCGTCACCTTCATCTTAAAAAAATAATTTTGCTATGCATAACATCTCAGATTGGCTGTCATTTTTCTTCTATAATTGAAGTTCACGTTCCATAATATTCTATTTTTTCTTGTTTCTTTTGAGATGTCACTTTTCAATCCAATTATTATTCCTGTAAAGGGAATATATTTGGGTTTTTTTTCTGTCTTCTTGTCACTTTTACTATGTTCTTTGTTGTCTTTGGTTTTCTGAAGACTCATGCTGAAGTTCCTTGGCGTGTTTATATTTATCTAGCTTTTGTTTTGCCTGTCTTCTGAACCTGTGTATTCACTTGTTTTTATCTATTTGGGAAAATTCTTCACCATCATCTCTTTAAATATACCTTCTGTTCATTCCCTTTCTTTGTTGTGCTTGGGTTGGGAGTCAAATGGGAAGTTTTATATTTCTCACTGTAACAACTTTTTCTCTTCTTCTCATGTATGTTTTCCCAAACTGTTGTCTCTCCAATCATTATTCTAGAAATTTTTTACTGAGCCATCTTTCTATTCACTAATTATTTCTTAGCTGTTTTTAAATATATTGTTAAACCCAACTGTATGTGTTATAAATATTTGTCTAATTTCTAATGGGAACAATTTATAATCTATTTTCTCAGGTGTACTCTGATAAAGTTTCAATCTTTTATATTCTTATACATAGTAAACCTAGTTAAATTAATGCCTGTAATAGAAAATTTCAATATCTAAAATGCTTAAATATTCAGTTCTGCTGTCTATTGTTTTTATTTGTCATGTTTTTCTCCTGATGTAGTTTATGAAGTTTTATTTCCTTATTTTCTTGGTTATTTTTATTCTGTTCCAAGAAACAGTTCTTATGAAAATCTATTGACACAAGTAATATTATTGTCATTCAGAAAGGATTTCTATTTTCTTTAGTCAGGAGCTTGAGAGAACTCCCGGTTCATCATAAACCATTTCAAGCTTGACATTTTCCAGATCATTTTAGCGGCTTAAATCTGAGCTCCAGTCTTTGCAAGGGCTTGGTGACTTCTGCCTTAACTTTGTTATTAGGATGTTATTATTTCTGATCCTAACTAAAAGCAAAGCATGTTTACTAAGACCTTCACACGTGGAGAATCCTGGACTTTAATATTTTGATCCAAACCTGTGAGATTCACAGTGTAGCTGAGTCCCTCATGTGACATTTCTGTATAGAAAGTGCTTACACGGCAAAAATTCTTCCCACATTTGTATTAATGATAAACCTCTGTCAATTTTCAGATTACTGAAATTTTTTCCTTTTTGTTCTTTAATATCTTGTAAAATATCTAGAGCTTTAAGCATATTTTTTCCAGTTTCCTAAGGCAACATTAGATAGTGGGTTGTCTATATTCTCTAGTATGTAACTACTGGAAGTGTAAACTGTCATAGCCTCTCATTTTTAACTCATGTAATTATTTTGACACATTAAATATTTATTAAACCAAGTCATGCTTTTCTTTATGGGATGGTTATCTATTACGTTTCATTTACTCTTTCAAAACTGTCATGTTATCTGATCAACTATACCCGACCATATAAGCAATACAAAATAATCAATTATTATAGCTGGTTCTTATTATGTTATTATTAACCAGTAAAATCTCTATGTAATGCATATGTTGGCAATCTAAAAGATTACAGAATACATTAGATAATTAGAAGAGCAAGGCATCTTGGTTCAAATTCAAATTCTAACTTGTACCAAGTTTGATTCATTTGTTAAGCTAATTTATTTAAATCACAATCCCTTAATTCATTAATTCAGGGACTTTATGTCTCAGAGCCTTATTGTAAGACAAACTGAGATAATGAGATGGTGAACAGTCTAATTATTTTAGACGGTAAATATAATTAATGGAAAGAAGATGGGATCTGTGAATAGACAACAGTAATATTCCAATACGTGCATTTCAAATTCTTGCATTGTTATTTGTCAATTGTTACCACATTAATGCTGTGCAACAAACCGCCCCCATTCTAGCTGAAATACAACAATAAATATTTCTTTCTCTCTGAAAGTGAGCTGTTTGTCATTAGCCACCAGCATGAAGCTAGCTGGGCTTCGTCCAGGTGTTAAGCTGAGCTCTGGTCTGCTATACATGTTCCTATCCTAGGTATGAGTTTTTCATGGTAATGGCAAAAGCACAAGATACTAAACTAACTCTACTTGTGTCATGTTCATTAATATCTTATTGATGATAGAAGATCTCATAAGCCAAAAAACAAAAAGAAAAAAAATGTCTAAGGGGGGGAATTAACTCCACCAACCATAAAGCCAATATAAATTATATGAAGTGAGAAATATATCCTTGCACATAGAGTTGTGATGAGAAAGAAATGGAAGCCACCTGAATATGTTGTTAGAAATGTCATAATCATTTATTATTTATGTATATGTTTGACTCACACAAAAACCAGATCATAAAGAGAGGAGTGGCTTATCTCACAAAATCTTCGTTGGGGAAATCGATCCACCTATGTTTAAACACTAGCGGCTAAAGAGTTAGTTTTAATGCCATTCAATATAGGAATACACTAGCATAAATTGTATTCATGGAAGGTCAGTGATTAGAGGAGCACATTTATAATTCTCCCCTGTCAGGCACAGGGGAGAAGTACTGCACCGCCTTAGTGGTAATGCACAAGAGGTCTCTCTGACTTGCTTCCTTTACTCACTTTAACATTGTGTATTGAGCACATTCCCAGTTAATAAAATGTCAGGGATTGGTAAGCAGGTGGGATCCATCAATGAATTCTATTACAAATAAATATTTTTTCTGTAATAATTGGTAGAGTGGGAAATATAATCCATGGCAGATTGGATGGCATAAATAAACACTGGAAACATATAAGAAATTCTTATGAGAGGTTTACATTCATTTACTGAAGGTAAATCTAGCTTAATGTACTTTATTGCGTCCATCAATGTGATAATTTTATGTGAGTTTATAATACTACATGAAAAATATCTAAAGTATTTTTGATATTTATATCTAAATATCTTTTAGACATGAGATATCTAAAATAAAAAGTTTTTGACAGTTGATTGCATTCCATTTGCTTGCAGATTGTCTACATGGGCTGGTGTGAGGCCCGGGAGCAAGACCCCCTTCAGGACAGAGTGTACTCCCCAACCTTCCTGGCCCTGAGGGGCTCATGTCTATACAAGTTTCTGGCACCTCCAGTAAGTGTTTTATCCAAATGTATTGGTCTTTTCCATATTACCACAACAGACTGACGTCAGCTTAACAACATCAAATAGTATACTATCAATAGTTTTAAAAACGTTATAGAGAAAAACATGGAAACCAGCTTAACTGATTTAACTTACTAAAAATACATTTTCTGATGTAAACATTGGCTTTATCACCCTGGAAAACTCTGGAAATTTGTTATTTATAAACAGTGAACCTATAAAATAATGGATCAAATTATAATGCTGTTAAAAATCCCATGAAGTCATGGGAAAGGGTATTTTAAGAAACATTTTCAAGCATACATCAGTGTATTTTGTTCACTGAATAAAAATAAATTAATATATCAGAAGTGGAATAAAGAATGAGTAAACTGTTTTAGAGCTCTACATGAATGAACATGTTTGCTAAACTTATTTTCAAAGGATCTTTCGAAAGTTTTTAAAAATGTATTCAGTACTTTTAATTACTAGTAATTTATTATTAGCAAAGAATAATAGGAAATCTCAAAGTGATAGCATTTTGTCTAGCTGTTATTAAATCTATCTCGCCCTAGTGGTAATTCCATAAGATGATGTTAACTCTCAGGTTGTTCGTTTAAATTAGAGGATTTCATACTTAGCAAACATCACAAATACATTCTGGTAAGCTACCATTTATGACAGTAAAACTATATTTATCTATGCTGTACAGGTCTCTCTAAGTAAAATCAGTAGCATTTTTATCTTCTATTATACTCTATATTCGAGTTATTGAGATTTGCATTAAATATGTATAGATACTTATTGGACCTCAAGTCTTGCTTTTGGAAACATGTACTTTGCAGCACAGAAAACACTCAATAAATATTTATTGAATATAAGTAGCACATGGCAGACCAGTCTCTTGCAGGTTAAATGATACATAGGATTTAGAAATCATCAGGTCTGACTTGCTGCTGTTTTAAATGCCTGTGTCTACACAAAGTGTAAAGCACTAGGAAAACTGGGAAAATTTAATATTTATATATTTTACTTTATTCCTACTCTGAATAATTTCTTTGACAAGACAAGTAAATATACATTTCCAACCTAAGTAAGTGAAATAACTGCATTGTGACTTTGGTGTGTTTGCAATGTCACAGTCATCCAGGAATTTCTTAATATAAATTATGCATATTTAAAAAATACAGCTGTGTTGAGGTCTAGTATTCTCTGTATTTAACTGATAAATAGAGAAAAAAATAATTTGTTTGTGGAATGTAAATATTTAGTATTTATAGGTTGAGAATATATACATTATTTAAGATACCTAAGGACACTGGGCACTTGGGAACTGTTGCACATAACACAAATCATTTGCTGAAAGCATAAGACAAATGGTGACAAAGCTTGGAATAGAGGAAACAAGAGTATTATATAGGGTCCTTTATGAACATAGCTTCACAGATGAGAGACTAAATAGACACATCTGTGAAAGTTTTGCTTATTTTTCACCATATTTATGCAAATCAAATAGAGTGGTAAACAACTTTCTCAAACAAATTACACATTATTTTCTTATCGCTTAAGGTAACCACCTGGGACTGGACGAGAGCAGAGAAAACATTCTCGGTTTATGAGATTATGTGCAAGATCCTCAAGGTATGATCAGTCATAAGTCCGTATTTGAATGGCTTTTCTTCAGTGAATAGCACCTCTGGGCTCATAAGTAGCCCACAAAAACAAATGATTCATGGAATGAAAGAATAGACAAGATAAAGACAAATGAAAGAGAAAGAAAATAAACTAGACAAGAAAAAGAAAATACAGAATGCACAGAAGTGCACTAGCACTCAGCTACCTGCTTAAATAGCTAGCAAGCAGACTGCAGTCCCGCTGAGGGTGAGGGAAGAGGGAGAAGCTCCGCAGGAGTTCACTGAGGAAGAAGAAAGTTCAGAAAGTTCAGCTGAAAGTAGTCTGAATTTAAATATCGGTTGTTGCCACTATTTTAAAATTCTTTTTTTTTCTCAATGAAATGCAAAAAAGAAAGATTTGGGTAAGACCTGGAATTAGAAAGTGTAGAAAATATAAAGATAAAAGCAAAGAAAAGTTTTGTTATTTTGTTCTTAATCTCATGGCTTGACCATCTTTTTGTGTATGTGAAAGAACATACGATTGTCATTTATCAGTTGAATTTCATGCCATCCACAGGATTATTGCAATAGCAAGCTATCACAAATTCTGTAAAATGTCGCATGGTTTCTATAGAATTTTTTAAAGAATTAAAATTGGAAGAACCTATAAAACCTGAAGACTAATATATATTCATTTTCTACTGTAGAGTTTGTACGCTTGGACTCCCCACAGATTGATAATTAAATTCCTGCCGCAGGTTGACCTTGTTTCTGTATCCAAGGGGAACTAATTTCCCTGTGCTTTATGTTAGCTCTTTCTCTTCTGGCTAAAGACTTAGCAGAGCAAAAAGCGCTGAAAAATTTTAAATATAATAAAATGCCTCAAAAGTATCTGACGGCAGAGAGACAAAATATAATTACCTCAAAAGTGTTCATAGTTTCTATTCCTTATAGACAATTTTGGATTAAAGTTGAAGTTCTCTGAAGTACAAAATCCAACTAAAAATATAACTCATTGATTGTTCATGTCTGTACATGCTTTGAGTTATTTTGTAGGAACAATGGTTTAAGGATACCCTGAAATACTTGAGTGTATTGTTAGTAAAGAAGGGTCTGACGATTTCTAAAACAGGTACCGCTATCTGAGGAAAAGGAGATCATACCCAACTCCAGTTTTCTGAAATAATTGGCAAAATGGCTAATGAGATAGCTTTCTAATTGTGTATTTTTTGCAAAGCTACTCATGGAATTAGAATTAGAAAAGGAAGAAGGACATAAAGAAAAAGAAAGAAGAAGGAAGGAAGGAAGAGAAAGAAAGGAAAAAGAGAGAGGGAGGGAGGGAAGAAAGGGAAGGCAAAGGGAGGCAGTGAAGGGAGGGGAGGAAGAAAAGACAGGGAGAGAAGGAAGGAAAGAAGGAAGGAAGGAAGGAGGGAGGGAGGGAAGGGAAGGAAGGGGAGGGAAGGCAGGAAGATAGGAAGGCAGGAAGGGAGGGAGAGAAGGGGAGGGGAGGGGAGAGCAGGGAGGGAAGGAAGGAGGGAGGAAGTGAGGGAAAGAAAGGAAACTGCCTCAACAAATCAGCTTCATTTGTCTATTCTCTGTCTATACACTAATGTAACTTTTTCATAGTTATAATGCAACACATATTTACATATTCTTACTTAGACTTATTTTCTAACCACTTTTCAAGTGGATACATGATCTTTAAAATCCTCTCTTTAAAAAAAAGCTATTTAAACATTAGAATGTAATGCAGTTTATTACAATACTTTAAAAAGGATAATTTTAAAGGAAATAATAAACATTATGTTTAGTTCCATCGCCATATATAAACACTCAATATTTTGTATCTCTGTTAAAATATTTGACAAAGTAAGATTTTACAATTCATGATCTGCTTTTCTGTGTAAAAATATGGCTTGAGATTTTTTTTTTCTATGACAGTCAATGTTCTTAAAAAACACCGATAACTTTTTGATAGATTTCGTCTCTCCCATCATTTGGCTGTATTCATTGAGTCTACTTTAAAGTTTTACATTTAGGTTTCTCCCGCCACTTGTCCTTGCTATCAGGCATATCACAACAATCATTCTTTGAACGGTTAAACAGAAAATTAAGTGTTTGCTAGATACCAGGTAATCTCGGCACTTGTTATGTGGCTGAGAAAAATGCAGAAAACCCGCCAGTTTAATTGAGCTTGAATTTTATTAGATGTTAAGTAAATCAGGAAAGGAGACAAAAATAGTAAATAAATCAATGAGACAAAATAATAATACGTAGGAAAGCCTGATCTTTGCTCAGAGACTTTTATGCAAATTCTTATTTCCTTTAGTCTAAATTCTGAGCTTTGCAAATCCCATGTGGAAAATTATTTTAACATATTCAAGATACTAAATCCATGTGACCAAATTGCCACCTATAAACGTCATCTTAACTTACACTGCCATCAGAAATGTCTTTGAGAGTGCCTGTAATATTTACACTTTGACCAAATTAAAATCAAGGACTACTTCCCATTTTAACTTTCTATTTAAAATTTTCTATAAGCCTTAGTTTACTTTAAGTTCTGGGACGCATGTGCAGAAGGTGCAGGTTTGTTACTATATAGGTGCACATGTGCCACGGTGGTTTTCTGCACCTATCCACCCTCCATCTAGGTTTCAAGCCCTGCATGCGTTAAGTGTTTGTCCTAATGTTGTCCTTCCCCTTGCCCTCAAACTCCTAACAGGCCCCCGTGTGTGATGTTCTACTTGGGAAAATGTTTACATAGGTTACTGAGGCCTGGAGATAAGTATTCTCAGACATCAAATACAATGTAAATCTACCTTCAGTTGTTGTATGTAATTAAGTGAGCCCCTCCCACTAGTAAGAACAATGCTGGTGCTTTATGCTTTATGGCTTGACATTAAACATATAAAGCCATCCTTCAAGCTCCCCCTTTCCTAAAGAAAAATTTCATGTAGCATAAAAATAGAGGCGAGGCTGTGGACAAATGGCTTATGTTCGATGCCCAATGGCTTATTTTCCTGTATGCAGATTACATTCTGGCCTTCTCCTATGTCAGGATCAGCAGTTAGAAAATGATTAGTTTGATAAGGAAGCCAGTGAGATTGGTGGGACTGGTGAGCAAATCAGGAGAATCTTCTACAACCCTGCCCTAGTAGCAGTTCTGATGCAAACTGTGCAAGTGGTAGATTTCAGATGAGGCTAATTAAAAGTCAGATTTGAATATCTGGAGCACAGAACAACTGGCCTGTGACCACTAATCAGAAAAATCCTGTCCCTTCTGATATGTTGATATTGAAGCTACATCAGTAATAACAAAAGTGAAGTAATAAAGTTCATCTGGTATATGTAGCTTGCATGTAAGTGCCAGGTATTGTCCTTAGTGCTTAGTATATGAATTCAGTTTATATTTATGTAATCTGTCAGTTATTGTTATTCCCATTTTACAGATATGGAAACTGAGGTCAAAAAGTTTAAGTAAATAGCCTAAGTTTACATAGCTAGTAAATTTCAGAGCTAAAGATATGAAACTTGCAATGTCTCAAAATTCTGCACTCTTATACTACACTTACTACACTGTCTCTTTCTCTCTCTCAGTGTAAATATTGATAATTGGGGGAAAAAATGGGAACCAGAGAGCCAGCCTGGTGCTGATGAGAGAGCAAAAGTTTCAGAATAAGAGGAACTTGGCAACAAATGCCACTTCTGTTACTGAAACCATTACCCTTTACAAGTGTATTGGGCACTATGAACTTCAGTTCTTCATCTGTGAAATGCAGCTGTTGATGCATAGGGTGTTGTGAAGATTGACAATTTGTTAACTGATTTGTGAATGCCTTTTTGTCTATTAATTCTCATTACAGTTACTCTGAGTACCTTCTGTGTGCCTGTAATATGTAAACTTTCCCAGAAGTACAAAGAAGTGTGTGTCCTCTCAACAATACAAACAAGATTGTTGCAGCTGTAGTCAGCTTGGGTATGAGGTTGGTGTTGGTGTTTGGATGGAACAGATCATAGGAAACGGCCATAATAAAGCACATCAACCTTATCTGAGGAACAAAGGATAGCCACTAAAGCATGTCAAGCATGGGGAGAGACTGAGCTTGCCCATTTAAAAATTCTCTTTGAATCCAACGTGATATGGTGTTGAAGGGGCCAGAGGGGAGTGCTCCTGGGGCAACTTCTGGTCAACAAGGGTATGGCCAGTGGGCCAGGAGGAGTGAGGCAGAGGAAAGGGATATTCAACACCTGCCCCTTTCAGAGCTAGCATTAGACTTGCAAGAATAAGTCTTTGGACCATAAGGATTATTTTTTTAGTTTTTTTATGATACTGTTTTTCAACCGGACATTACATATAAGTTTAAATGTTTGAATAAAGTATACATAGGGAACAATAACATCACACTGATATTCTTCTAGAATCATTTTTAGAAAAACAAAAGCAGAAAACATGGCTGGCAGGGCTGAATGAGGAGGTTGCGCAGAGTGAATGTAGGTGGGAGATGGGGAAGGAGGAAGAGGGATTGATCAACTAAGTAGGTATGTTATGGGGAAAGTGAAATAGGAGCCTTATTTCTCACTGTCAGAGATGAGAGTCATAAACACAGAAAGAAAGAAGCCTAGGATAAACTCTGAGTTATTGGATTAGAATTAGAAATATTTATATGCAACCTCAGTTTGCAATGCATGTGTTTATATGTACCTATGTGTATGTGTGTGTGTGTACATATATATGTGTTCAGCTGTACCTTACTCTGTCTCCAAAATATCTGGGGTCAGAGAGTTCTCAATAGCAAGGAGCACACTCAGCAAAGCTCTCTGTTTCTCAATATTATTCACTACAAAGAGCCAAAACTCTGTAGATAAATGTTTGATGGCTGGGTTGTGGCTTAGAAAGTAAAAGATGAGGCTAAGTCGTATTACTTTGCTAGAAGATAAAGAGGTGCTCAGAAAATGATGGAGACAGATCAAAAGACATAAAAGCTACTTCCAAGAGCATCCATTGGGCAAATTCAGGACAAATTG